TTATGGTCCAATGCTTTATCCCACAGCACCACACTATTTCTTCCAAAGGAATGTACTTAAATGCTGACAGAAAAAATTATTCATAAGGCAAACCCCCCTCCGTCAGAAGACTGGTCTCTCTTCACCACATAAATTAAATTTACTATTTTATTTGCCTCTTCTACTCAACAGCAAAGGAGCTCTAGTAGCGTAGTGGTTACAAATCGGGCTGCTAACCTCAAGGTCAGCAGCTCGAAACTACCAGCCCTTCCATGGGAGAAAGATGAGGCTTTCTGCTCCTGTAAAGATTTACAGCCTCGGAAACCCTGTGCAGGGTCGCTATGAGTCAGAATTGGCCCCAATAGTACTTAACAACAACAGCTCAACTGCAAGCTTTTGGTAGTGAAACGAGCCTGCGATTTCTCAGGGTATTAATAGAAAGACAGTCCATGTCCAATGACCCAGTAAACCCAGCCAATCAAGGCTCTGCCAAGATCCTGCCTAGTTCCTGGAAAGCAGTGATACTTCTCACCATGGAAAGGCATCTGAAATCAGGAAGACTGGGTGTGCCCATGTGCATAGTATGTGATTTCTTCTTCTGTGTTCTCTGATAAGACATGTGCATAAGAAATAATAACCACCAGTACAGCTGGAGATTTTAATGTTGGCAGCTTGTCATTGTTGTTGTTAAGTGTTGTCGAGTAGGTTCTGACCCATGGCGACCCTGTATAGGGTTTCCGAGGAGTGACTGGTGAGCTTGAACTGCCAACCTTGCAGTTCAAACCAACCCTTGCAGCCCAGTGCATTAGCCTGCAGTGCCAAACGAGAACTCCAATTGTTGTTGTTAAGTGTCATTGAGTCATTTCTGACCCATAGCAACCCTGTTGGGTCAGAGTTTCTGAGGAGCGGCTGGTGAGCTTGAATTGCCGACCTTGTGGTTCAAACTGACTGTCCAGAGCATTAACCCACAGTGCCACACCAGGACTCCAGCCATCAAATACTTAACTCACAAATATGTCAGTGTTTCTCTCTATCCCAATTTTGAGTGTACGGTACCAAATCTGACAAAACTTATAACTCATGGGGCTTGGGAAAATTTCTTGTATGGACATAAGTGTGTTTACTAGATATTCATCCCTCTGAGGTTAGAAATGATACTGACAAAATTAAACTTGAAGGCAATCAATGTACGCATTCACTAGAATATAAAAAAGAAGTAATAGTTGAGTATGTGATCTGATTGAACACGGGCAGAATATACAATGTAAGTTTGGAGCAAACAATTAAAAAGTTTTCTTGAATTCCATACACACATATGTTGTTGTTGTTACATGCCATCAAGTCAGTTCCAACTCATAACAACCCTATGTAGGGTTTTCAAGGAGCCGAGAGGCTGGTGAGTCTGAACCACGGACCTTGTGGTTCACACCTACCTTGTGGTCCAGCGCTTTATCCTACAGCACTATACCAGGACTCCATATATACATATTGGTGTTATTAATTAATTAATGGAGTCCTGGTGTGGTGCTGTAGGATAAGCACTGGACTTCTAACTGCAAGATTCAACCCCACCAGCTGCTCCTTGAAAACTCTATCCAGGATTACTATGCATCAGAACTGAGTTGCACATAACAAAAACATTAAGTAATGAATAGCTGGCATTAAGGATCCTTGGTGGTGCTATGGGTTAAGTGTTGGGCTGATACCAAAAAGGTCAGCAGTTGAAACCTGCCAATCGCATCACAGGAGAAAGATGAGGCTGTCTTATTCCCATAAAGATCAACAGCCTTGGAAACCCTACATGGAATGGGCTCAATAGCAGTGGTTTGGGGCTCAGGTTTATTAAGATAATCAAGTCGTGCAGAGACTAGTTCTACTGCTGCCTTTTATATCATGGGTCAAGCCTATTACATTAGAAAGCCACCGCCAGATAAATTCATGGGTAAGAATTATAACTGGTAAGAATTCACTAGATCAGAGTAAGTGAGAATAGTATACTAAAAGGGTAACCATAGCACACACTTTTTTAAAAAAAAGTCTGTCCACTCCTTGGTCCTTCATCTAACTGTTCTTAATGGTTCATTTAATCTCATGTTTTTAACACTGCTTCAAATTTACTGTTTTTATTTCATATATGTATCTAAATCTCTGCTAGTCTTACAAATTTTTTTTCCCTTTCAAGTTCAAATGACGTCTTGCATATGCATTTAATAAAAACAGGTTTTTGTAAGGAGATTTGTGTATTAACCTTTTACTAAACTCTGTTTTTTAAATGTTTGGCTATTCTTAAGGTAATAACTTCAACTGGTTATTTTTCTGTATGCTTTTGGTCACACACATTAATCAATTTTATAAAGAAGAGAATTGGAAATTAAGTGCTTTAAAATTAAACTATGAAGATGATTATTTTATTTTACAATGAAAATCTTTGGATGAATACTGAAATGCATCACCCATTACAGAGAAATACAGTTGTTAAGGGGTAGAGAGGGAAGGGGTCAAAACACATACCTGGATTGTTTGACTCTGGTAGACTTTAATTACGTGAAAACTGAAACTGTATATTCCTTTTCTTGGTGCTACAAAGACAGACTCCAATGTGAAAAAATTACCCACATTTACTAGGATCTACAAATAAAAATAGCAGACAACAGCACATTATTTCAATGTTTTTCTGTAACAAAATCACTCTTTCCTTCCTTACTGCTTCTTTTCCTTCATTCCATTCTCTCACTTTCTTGTTTTCTCTCTTACTTCGTTTCTTCATTCTCATTCCTCAACTAGCTTAGCAAATCACAAATAATAAAACATGTAGTTCAATTTCTCCCCTTCTTATTGACGTGGAAAACGAATTTGTTTATTAGAATGCCCTTCTGTCCCTTAAATAAGGTCACTGTTGTGCATTCAGGCCTCAATTCCCAACAAGGCCCAATGTCTGTGGAGACCTCTAGATCCTGTGTGAGAGTTTGTCAGTACAACCTTTACCTTGAGAGTCAGAGAAGAGGCATCTACCATGTATGTACATTCCCATCATCTGCAGGTCTTCCCAATGTCCAGAGGTGACGTTTCCGAGCCAGTCAATCTCTGGACACGTCACAGAAGCAGAGCACCCCTCCACCGGGTGACATAATCCATGACACTGATCAGCTGGTACACAAGGTGATCTGAATGCTTGGCCATCCTCTGGTATCCACCAACCCACTCCTAAGAAGCCACAGCCACATCCCTATGCTATCTAGACCTTATTAATTATACTATTCTGGCAATGACTCAGCCCTTGTAGTATAGCATGCCAATGAGTATAGCATGGACAGGACAGCATGCAGAAGGCATGGTCTTCTCCTATCCCTTCCCTGCTTTCCATTAGCTTCCTATCAATCATCTGCTCTTTATTTAAAGTTCACGGATTAAAAGGGTGAAATAAGAGGAGAGAGTTATAAAGCAATGTTTCCCAAGAAAGCAACAGTGCAGTCCCTATTCCAGGATGTTCAGTCTGTTTATATGGATTATGAAATCAATCCTGAGTGACCTCTTCAGTTAAAATTTCAAATCACACACAGCTAAGTCCCTTCCTATAAAGCAAGAGATAATGTGAGCCAGAAGGAGGGATCTGAAAGAACTGGGGGTTTTATTCATATTCCTCTAAAAAAAAAAAAAAAAGTAATAATTCTCTAAGTGGCATTCAAAACACTGGGGGCCCTTATAAAAAAAACTCTTCTCACATCAGAAAGCATCTGCAACTCTTGCTTCTATCCACAGCTTTCTTGTCATTACTTTCTGAACCCTCCCTGCATCCCTAAAACTGTACTATGATGTCTCAGCAGCACATCAGAATATAGTCAAGATCAGGGAAGGGTACCAGACTCAACAACTTCCATACAGGTTCAGCACTTAAAATATCAGGTGCGCATACTATTTTATTCTGAGGTTTCCCCTTCTCCCAAGTAAGCATCAATTCTTTTCCCTGACCTGATGATCAGTGGTCTTTCAACAGCAAGTTATCAGTTAGGCAATGATCCCCCACTAGAGGCTTTAGGAAGAAATTTTTTTCCAAGCACATTAAAAATAATTTGAGGCGCTTAGCAGGAACTTCCTGATTTCACAGACACAAGCAGCATAACTCATTAGCAATAATGGAAATGGCTGATTAGTGTTGGCTCCACATAAGGCTGGATGTTGACTCTGCTGTAATTAGAGCATCCAGGCACATCAAGATTTATAACAAAATGTCTCTTGTTTTCTCTAAGATGCATGGCTCCCTGGTCAGAAGAACAAACCCTTCTCTTCTAATCGACAGAAAGGTCACTAAAAAGAGCACATGATACAGAAATGGTACAATGTCCAACATATTCCAGCATTTAATTAATGCATTGAAACACAGTCCAGGAGTGGTGCTAGACTGTATATCCATCAAGATGGAAAATACTGCACCAAAAATTCAGAGGGACTACTTAATTCTTTTTTAAATGAAGGTAATCCAATAGTAAGCCCCAGAGAGGCAGTCTTGGTCTTTGACCAGCTGGAAAGTGCATTATTTTTAGGAAGAATAAAATCAGGAATGCAAATGTCACCTCATCCCTTACCTAAAATATCCTGGGATGCCACTTAACTTATGCTTCTGTACATGTGGGCTTGCATACAACTGAGACTTGTGACTTGGCAATTTAAAGAGAGTCTTGGTGCGTGGTATTCATACTGAAATTGGTCCCCTAGAGTTCCGTCTTCTCCTTAGGACTCCTGCTAAAGATATGCTGATATCCTGGGGGTTCGCATCCCACCAAAGCCCAGAGCTTTAGGTTTATCAAACAGGAGCCATTGGATTCATCAATTCCTCTCCATTCCCTACTCTAAAGTCTGTCTTTCCCCAGCAAACTGCAATTCTTTGAGAGAATAGCAGCGCAGCGCGGGAAGCGAGAACCCACTCCTTGGCGCTTCCCTATGGGAGCTCAGCAGTTGCCCAATTCCTTTTCTCTCCTCCGCAACTTTCCTCCAAGTACCAGAAAAGGGCTTCGCCCTGCTCCGCTGTCCCTGCAGCGGCACCTGGGACGTGTACAGGGACCCTGGCAGCGCAATGGAAAGAGCGGCAAGATGTGACCCTCAACCATTCTCATCAACTTCCTCGGCCCTCAGCGGGGCTTCTATGGTGTGAGGAAACACCGGAGCTGTCTTTGGGGAAAATCTTCTCCACCTGGGAGAAGCAAATCAAACATTTATCAGGCGTCCGCGAGGATGTCGCGGGGATACTCCGAGTCACGCTCTGGCCGAGTGACTTCAAGGTCCTGGAACCAGATTCCTGTCAACTCGAGGACCTGTTGCTATGAAACTTGTCCTAAGCTCTTGCTGCCTGGCTCTGAACTCCCGGCTTTTTACTCAGCACCTAACAACCTCTCCAGGAGGCCAACAGGGAATTGGGGACGGGAGGGCGTTTTGAGAAGTTTCAGACCCAAATATATTTGGGGAAGCGAATGCCTAATTTCCCCTATATCTCAATCGGAACAGCTGAGCCCAAGAGACCGCCCCATTCCATAGACCCCGCACCCCTGGGAGTCTGACCTGATCGAAGTAAATGATGCGCGTCTTGTTGCTCATCTCCGACGGCTCGTGGTTGGTGCTCCGCACAGCCGAGAAGGCCACCTTGGAATTGGCTGCCCGGACCGAGATGCCCAGAGGCGAGGAAGACGAGCCCTTGGAGTCCATGGCCGGGTTCGAGTCGCACACCACCAGGCATTTGCCCTCCAGTACTATGGGCTCAGTGTCGTTCTGCGCCGAGACGGGCAACCCCGGAAACGTGATCACCAGCAGCACGGTCAGAACCGCGGACAGCGCCCGGAGCCCGGAGCCCATAGTGAGTGGCGGAGGCAGCGGCAGCCGGCTGGCGCTCCTGCTCGCCTGCTTCACTTCCTCACCCGGGACCCGGGAGCCCGGGCGGATGCCCGCGGCGAGCTGGACAGCGCCGCAGGAACGGCGGCGGTGGCGCGCGCACTTCCACCGATTCTGTGGGTTGAAGTCCAAGCCTCCCTTGGCTCTCTCGCTGGCTCTGCTACCTTTGTCCTTTAAGGAGCTCATGCAGAACCCTCTACCCCACCTCCTCCGCCCAAGAATCAGCCCTCTTGGGGGCCCCTGCACGCACCCTCGTTCCTAAACATTTAAAAGTCACCAAACCCTCACATGTACACCAAATGGGGAGGGGGGGGAAAACAATGAATTCTCACCCCAAAACCAATACACCCCGCAGCCCAGGTGATTCACGGAGCAAAAGAACAGAGCGACGAAGAGAGATGCCACACGGGTGGGCTGGAGCCCGGCGGTGCGGATGGTGGTCCTGGAGGAATCTGGTTGGAGGCAGACAGATGACTGAGGCAGGTTTTCCCGGACTGCCAAGAACGCGAGGCCTGAGCAGGACTCTAGCGACTCCCACTTTTGCTTGGTCGAAAATTCCCCAAACCTTGGCGTCTCTCAGATTTAGCAGCTGTTAGTGGAGTCCCCACACAGGATGCATAGATAGGCGGACTCAGTTTCAGGACGCAGGGCGCAGGCGGCACGGCCGGCCGGCGGGGTCCCTTCCTGCTCTGCCGCCCGCCTGGGTCCCTGCGCACAACTTTCTCCTCCTCACGCCGCCGGGGAGCGCGAGCGGGCACACGCGCGCTATTTATAGGAGCGCGGCGGCCGCTGGGGTTGGCTCACGGCTCGACCCGCTGGCTCCAGGGAAAGGGGGAGAAGGTTCGGTGACCCCCAACTCAGTCGCTTCCGCCTGGGGTTTCAAGCACCCAGAGAAAGTGGGGCTCACAGCGCTGCAAGCTGCTAGTGTGGTCCAAGGCCACCCAATCCCCCTGCCCCCGGGCGTGCACAGCGCGGAGGGTGCTGTCCGGTGAAGCGCCCACAGCCCAACGCTTGGCAGGCTCTGCGTCTGCTCATCCCCTCTTGGATCTAGGTCTGCTGTTCCTCTCTCCCGACCCCAGTGCAGGACTCAACCTCCCAGAGCCTTCGGAGCAGATGGATTAGCGGAGGCGACCCCCCGTTGTGTGCTACTGGGACCTAGGGACCCGCGGGCATCCTGACTGTGACTGGCCCCGAGCCCGCCCCACGGGGGCCCTCGGTCCTGACGAGCTCAGGAAAGCTTCAGGAAGGATAGGAGCCAGCAGGGCCGCTAGGAGGAGATGTCTTCAAGAAGCCTTCCTCTTGGATAAGACAGAAACCGCAGGGGCGCGCCTCTCCACCTACCGCGCCAACCCACCCCAGGCAAGGCCAGAAAAAAGAGTGAGAGACAGTGAACTCAGCGAGAAAAAGCACCCCTAAAAACAAACAAACAAACCACCAGCAACCCCGCTCCTGAGCACACAACACCATTGTCCCCTTCAGACAGAATTGCCACTCGCCTCTCTGTTGCCAGCCCGTTCCCATCTTAGTCTCTGATAGGTGAACTATGTCACTTTCTGTGAAATGGGGCGGGAGGGCGCTGGGGGCGAGGGAGAGAGGGTGAGAAGGGGTTTGTTTCTGCCTTGGATCACTGTGTGAACTTGATCAAGTCACCTACCCCCTCTGACTGTGCTGACCTCCAGCCCTTATCAGCTATGCAATTCTGATATTTGGGGGGTTTGCCACACCCTTGCCAAATTCCTGGCACACTTTCAGCTGCCAGAGTGCAGGCGCTGTATCTTTAATCAACACAACATTTCCATTATCCAATTCCAGCCTGGTGCACAGCCAACTTGCATAGAAATGTCCTGAGAAAGTATAAATCGTAGGGATGTTGGTCTATGGGGTGCGTGGCTGCAGGACCTTCTGGAATGGAGGTATTCTCTTTACCAGGGCATTCCAGACCCCCCACCAGAAAAGTCAGACCTGGCTTTCCAGTACTCTCCCCTCCCAAGACCCTTCAAGCAGAACTGAATATTGATTGAGCCATAAACACCAGATGCAGATTCCCTATTGTTAAAGCTGGAGCTCTTCTGACTGGTTGGTAACCCACCCATCCACACACACTTCCATCCACACACACTTCCATCCACACACCCTTCCCCACAAACCAGCAATGAAAACATTGATGTTTGACACCAAAGGGGCTGGGACTCACTCCTGTGGGACCAACCTCAGTTCTGAGTGATAGATGGTGTTCCACTGGGTTATAGAGTTAACTGTCATTCCAGCTGCTAGCTAATCTAGGTTACAACCAAGCAGGGGGATCACTGCCTTCTTAAGACCACCACCATTTTCCCTAGCACCGATGGTCCACCTTAAGTCCAGCATAGCTTTTCACCCAAAGCTTGACTGCACTTTGAAATACCCTTGAGTTTTTACCAGAATCCCTGGAGGGGACCACCCTTAGCTGTTAATATAAAGGTGATGGCTCAAGTCCACCCAGAGGTACCTCAGAAGAAAGTCCTGGTGATAGACTTCTGAAAACTCAGCTACTGAAAATGCTATTGTGTGAACTTGGGGTTGTTTTGAGTTGGAGTCAATTCCATAGCAACTGGTGTCCATTTATCAACTAATTCAACTTTGTTATTTTGGTCTTATTCTATAGGGATGACCATTCTGTCCTGGTGTGGCACTGTGGGTTAATGCACCAGACTGCAAAGTCGGTTTGAACCACAAGGTCGGTTGTTCAAGCTCACCAGCTGCTCCTTGGAAACCCTATACAGGGTCGCTATGGGTTGGAACCAACTCGACGGCACATCACAATGACAACAACAGACTAAATGGAGTTTGAGAGAAATCTGTCAGTAAGGTGTTTCCACCAACAACTACAATGGATTCTCTCTGCATCCTGTACTTCCCAGGCATCTTCCTTCCTATCAAAACTCAGAAAGAACCTGTCTTCCTCCTCTTTTCTCTTTCCCCCACCAAAAGTATTCATTTTTCCAGCCCCCAAATCTAACAATTGATCATGGAATGAATGAATACTTCCAGATAGAATGTGCCTAGCAGTCATTCACCTTGTAGTATAAACTGGCTTTAAGTGAATCACTCTCAGTAAAATTTAAAGGAAAAGCCTCTGAGTAATTGGGATGAAAGCATGTACTTCTTACAAACGCATGTTCCCTTATTCAGAGTGTTTTGAGGATGTGAGACAAGACATTTTTGTCAACTCTTACTAACAGAAACTGTTTAATATTGTGAGCCACGTGGTCCTGTCTCCTTTCTCCACTACAGCTGCTTAGACAGGAACAGTCTCTGAGCTCTCAGGATGTCCATCCCTTTGATACCTTAAACCCATGATTTGTGCCATCTGACTCTGCTCAATGAGCTGAGGCTGTTCTAGTTTCTCTCTCTAGAATCTGAACGAGACTCCAGTGAGCCTTCCAGGAAACTCTGGGTGCTGCTCTGGGACCAAGCTGGCCATTTCGGGGCCCTGGTGGACCAGTGGTTACAATCTCAGCTTCTGAAAGGTTTCACACCCATCAGCCACTTCACAGGAGACCTGGTGATCTACTTCTATAAAAATCCCAGCTTTATAAGCCCCATGGGGCAGCTCTCTCTGTCATATACGGTCTCTAGGTGAGTCTTGGGTGCAATCTGAAGCAGGGGAAAGGGTTGGAAGAAGCCAGAGGACTCTCCACACACTGTGTGTGGAAGTGCATTCTGGTGACCCTTCACTCTGAGAGAGAAAGGGAGTGGCGAGGGGGTCTCCAGAATCCAGCAACACTGTCTTTTAAACTTGGGTTTGCTGAGCGCTTCCTGTATCTTTACTACAAAACCCATTTCCCTTGGGCTAGTTGTAGTAACCTGCTGCTACTTGCTGTCTCATTAGAACAGTGTCCTGAAAATCAGACCACACAAGTCCCTGGTGGCACAGTGGTTAAGTACGAGGCTGTTAGCCCAAAGGTCAGCAGTTCAAACCCACCAGCAGCTCCATGGGCGACAGATGTGGCATTCTCCTTCCACAAAGATTACAGACTTAGAAACCCTATGGGGCAGTTCCATTCTGTCCTGTGGGATAGTTACAAGTCAAAATCTACTTGACAGCAATGGGGATTTTTTTGTTTTGTTTTGGGGTGTGTTGTGTTTTTTTAAGACCACTCACTCATCCACTGCCAAAAGATACAAACAAGTCCAAACCCCAGCCTCTAGGAAATGTTTTCTTGACCAGTGACCCCGGATGAAAAGAAATAGGACCAAGGCCAAGTTCCTTTCCAGTCACAGGTCTGCCTTATCGTTGAAAATGTGCTATTGCAAACCTAGTGTGACCAACATGCTCCTCTTTTCTGAGAACCTCAGATTGTAATTTGATGCCCGGGAAGTCTATTACTAACCTTTAGAAATGAAGTATTTTGACTCCTCTGGAGTTGGGATCAATTTCAAAGTCAATTAGAATCTGAACCAGCCTTGCATAGTAAATTCAATGACTAACCTACCATCCCTTAAAAAAAAAACAAGCTTTAAACAAGACCAAAACAGTAAGAATCCATGACTCATCTCCTGTTTCTGAAGAAAATGTGTCTAAGAAGGCATTCATCACATGAGGTATTCAGCTCTAAGGCCTTGTCTGAAAAATAACTCAGCGCTTAAATGAAACGAGACCCCCAAAATCATTTAATAAATCCAACCATGCATCAGGAGAGAGACTAGCAGCCAGGTTTGCATCATATGAAGGCTAAGGTCAGCTGACTCATTTAATTACGTTTTGCTTCCTATAGTGGTGAGCATCAACACAAGTACAGTGAGAAGCTTATGGAGAAAAGGTGCTGTGAACAACCAGTAAGTAAGTACTGGAAAGTTCTAGAACAGTGTTGAGTACACCCTCAGACCTCCCTCTGCAAGCAGCCAAATTATTGATTTACTTGAAGAAAGATGGAAACATTAAGGAAATTAAATGGCGGAGTTGCAATGCTTCGTTTTTATGA